AGGGCAACCTCAAAAATTTATATTCTCATAGTTATGAAGGAAATCAAGGTGTCAACAGGATGTACTCCCTCCAAAGCCTTGAGGCAGGTTCCCTCCTTGCCTCCTGCTTCTCATGGGAGTCTCAGACCTTCCCTGGCATGTGGCACTGCCTCTCTAATTTTTGCCTTCATCTTCCATGGCCATCTTCACCCTGTCTCTGTCCTTGCATGGCATTGTCCTCTCTGTGTGGTCCATGTCCAAAGTTCTCTCTTTTTAAAAGTATGCCAATCATATTGGATATGGGCCCACTCTAATGACCTTATCTTAATGTGATGATATCTTCAAGACCCTATTTCCAAATAAGGTCACATTCCTGGGGTTTCACATCAAGGCTTCTACATACCTTTTTGGGGAGCACTATTCTACCCATAACAGAGCCCCCTGTGAAAATGTCAGGTTTAAAGGGTTCCCTGGGCAGCAGTCCCACCTTCCATGCTTAGTCTTGCTCAGCACACAGTGGAGTTTCAGCCTCTCATCCAATGTAAGCATCTGAGCCAGATAGAGAATACAGGACAAACGTGGACTGCCATGATAAACACGGAAAAGAAACCTGTACCTTCAGTATATTTGCAAAAGAAGGTGTAACAGATGGTAGTACCTATAATCTATCAAAGTAAAATTAGAGTAAATCTATATCCTTGTTACTGCTCTGAGCATTTCTGAGTGCAATCTGTCAATTAATGACTATGTCCTTTTTATCCTGTAATACTGAGTGAGGGTGAACATCTCTGTGGTATTAAAGAAAAAACCATAGAGCTTATGATATGTTGTAGGAAATTACTGTAAAAAAGATCAATGTGAAAAAATGAGAAGGTATCTCCACTTATAAATTAGAATTATTTTCAAGAAGTAGGTAGATCGTTTAGAACAATCTCCTGTTTACATATTTAACCAGATTCAGTTGCACACTGCTTCTGTGAAGCTAGTTAGAAAATTGAGAATGTTTGCATATGAATTAAAAGTACAATTGTGAAACTAAAAAAATCTGTGATAAACACACTGAATATATAGAAATTCAAGGAGAATGCAAGAAGAAAAATTAATCAAATCCTCCCAGAATTCAGTAGAAAAGGGTAAAGGAAAGGGAGAAAAAGAAGATATGTGTTAAAGAGAATGAGGATTTAAATTCCATGTAACAAAAGTTGCAGAAGAGGAAACAGTAAGCCCATAGCATTCCCATCACTAGGGAATGTCCTTTTGCATTTCAGAGAAAACAACACCACCAAAATACACCTTCAAGAACACAGAAAGGAAATTAATAAATTTGTAAAAAGCCAACAAAAGAAATTAATTTATGCTGACATCACATTGATCTTTCACATGGCTAAACTGCAGAAGATAGATTTCCACATGAGCCAACCTAGTAGTCACGTCAAGGGTCTCCAGATGTACATTGAGTATAAACAAGGTCCCCAGACCACACCTGTATACTTTCCAGGAAGCATACTTGTGGAGAAATAGAAAAAAGATAAACTCAGGCAGTCCACAAGCATTAAAA